TTCAGAGCAGATAATACTCCGGATGAATAATTTTGCATATATCCAAAATAGACGTAAGAAGTAATAGTCAAATTGAACTAGAATAATACATAAGTTACCGTTATTAGGTTTAAAATTTAAAAAATATATATACGTGTGTATATTTATAAACCTGTTATTAAAATAAAACGAATTATTATTTTAAAAGATAAAAAAAATTATTGGCGTTTAAAGCGAAATAGAGTTTGAAAATCAGCAAAATATTTTCAAATGTGTGTCTGCGATTCTTTCAGACAACCAACTTATTGCTGATCTTATGGAGGGGAAGTGACAATAGCATCGAAAACCCGCGAGGTGAAAGTTAGAGGGTCCTTCTAGGAAGTTCAGACAGAAAGATCCAATCATTTTCTATATATATTGTGGGACACAAAAGTTTTATCATTCCTCAAATACTACTTGAGTAAAAATTTAGAAAATAATTATTGCTGTAGGGTTAAATATATATATTTTTCTGTAAGTCTAGTTGAATTAATTTTTCAATATCAGTATTATAATTGTTGTGTTGACCGTAGCTTAGGCTATAAATATTAATTTACATTTCTATAATATAATCTCTCATTTGGAAATGATTTAATTGTACAATCGCATCTATAAATCTAATAATATTATTCATTACTATTTTTTACTATATGTTTTAATTAAAAATTACTATCAAATTTTATTATATTAATGAATTGTAATTAAAAATTTTGTATAGTTTAGTATAATGAGTTTGTCTGTATTTCTTTTATCATATGATTATAAATCTTTTAATTGCTATATTATAATGAATTAACATATACTAAAATGTGAATCATTATTAAAAAATTAGCCGTTCATTATTAGTAAATATTAATACAGTAGTATTTATTATTAGTAAATTTTCTCAAGATATATTAATTACTTTTCTTTATATTACCTTAATATATTTTTAATTAAATGTTAAATTTTGGATATATTTCATTTATATGTTCTATTAAAATATTATTTTTAGTTAATGTTTTACTTTAAAATGATTCTGTAAAATCGAAAAGTAGTAGCAACTTTTAAGAGTTTTTAATAGTGAAAATGAGCTTTGTGGCCTTCTCTTTGCGTATTAATATGCGTAAAATATTATAATATGCCCTTGAAAGAGAGGGATCGGGACCAGTAAGACCACCCTTTTTAAGCTCCTTGACCTGATAACAGTTCTAACCCGGATTAACATCGGGGATGAAAATGGGTTCCTTAATGGAATAAGCAAAAAACTGCTAAACTCTTATTATTGAATGAAATTTGTTACCTAATTAAGTTTTAATTGTTTTATTTGAAAGCATCATTTACGATAATTATCTGTTGGAATTCAGCAAGCAATATTATATTTAATGATCATGCAACACAGATATGTTCTCGTCGAATATTAAAAAGAAGAAAAAACTTTTATGCGGAAAACTATAATAGTTAGTAACCTCATAGTCCAAATCCAATAGAAATGAACCAAACGGGACATAACTGTGTCAAATGACGCCCAATAAGTGAACTGGAAACGTTTATTTTATTCAACTGTATGCAATAGGGCTTAACTTATATGCCGCTTTTCACTCTATAATCCATACTGTTGAATCCTCCCAATAAAATTAATATAAAAATAGTATAAATATATGGTCATTGAATGCTGTATTTCACCTATGATATAATTTTAACAATAATTATTTAATATAAAGTCTTACATTTATATTTTTATATACATTTTTAATTATTAAACTTATTCTTAATTAAATAATAAATGTCTTATTATACAGTATTTTGTTAATTATAGCCAGATAATTGCTTAGTAGACAAATCTTATGTATTTAAGATACGCTGGGGGTCTAACTAAGCTTTTAGTAAAAATTAGCTTCTATTTATATAAGTAAAGGGCAAATATCGTTTCTATAAATGGAGTGCCATCCTGCCCAACCATTTTTACAAAAACTAAAAAGAAAATAAATCCATCGTACAAATTTACTACTTTGATTTATATTTTAGTTTTATGTAATTATTAAATAATTGTTTTTTATTTTGTGTCGGCTTAATTAGAAATTTTAAATGTCAGAATAAAACGTGGAAAAATGAAAGATGCTGTCATTGGAGAAGTGAAGGTAAAAGATCAGAGAACAATATCTGCTTTTCAGTGTTACATTTCTCGTTCATAAAGCACACGGCGAGTTACGAGAATTGCTAAACAATAGTTTAGCATGTAAATTGGTCAATGTGCGAAGTCTGTCATTTTTAAAATCTGTACAAGTTTTATAAATAATAATTTAGTTTACAAGGTTCAAAGAAAACAAATTCGACATTTGTGTACTAGAGAATATTTTCTCAGCATTTAAATAAATAAATATATAATTATATCTTTGTAAAAAATATAGTATATACATAAATATCGTTTTACTACCAGCAACGAAGTGTTAGAATTCTACGTGTAACTTACATTTAAATTTTTAAATAATATAATAGTTGCTCTCTGAAATATATTACAATATATAAGCTTATACATTTAGCTATTAATATTGTAATAATATACATTGTGTATGTATATGTATACACACACGATAAATAATTTTGTTTTATTAGTAATACTAGAAAAATGATCATTTCGTTTTATGTTTCAAATAAAATACAGATGAGGAAAGCTATTCTACGAAAATGTTGGAAGCATAGTAACTTTTAAAGACGCCAAATCACTCTTCTAATCCGTGTCATGTTTGCGTCAATTCTAATTCTGATTCATCAATGAAAAACAAAATGGATATTTTAACAAATCGTTATTGGTTACAACTATCTTATTACTATGTTATATATATATATATATATATTTACTTTATATGGTAATGACATAAAATTTCTGCAGGTTAGCTTAATACAATGGAAATTTATTAAACACGTGCTGTTTAATAATTGTGAATAAACAAAAATTTTCGATTCACGGATTTATTCTAAAATAATTATCTTCACTTTGTTTCAAACCACAATATTCAAGCCTATTTTTATTTGTAGGCTTGTAGCGTTAAGAATGGAGATCTAAGTTAAGTCTATATAAGTATAAGTATTTTTAATTATTGGATCAATTAAAATATAGGCTAATTTATATTTTTGAGGGGGAGAAAATATCAACTTACTTTTATATTATATAAAAATCAGATTTTAGTAATATGACGTGTGCCAACAATTTTCTATGGTTGTTTTCTCTCGTTCATTTGTAGATAGCCTAATCTTTTAGTCTATCAGTGAAGACTATTAAGATTAATCTGATATAATTTCTGTAGACCTAAGTAGTAATGAAGATATGTGGAAAGTTTTATCGGATAAAGTACCAGTAGACGACTATTTGGATATTGCTCAAGGGCAGAGTGCATCCAGATCAACTATGGGTAGATTTAACTCGAGTTAAATTAATGAGTTAACACTTTTCGGCAAAATCTAAATAGTTTCTGCTAATTCAAATTTTCTATTTCAACATTTAAATTTTGAAAGTAATAATCACCAGGCCTACTAAAAAAAAGTAAGTAAACCAAAACCTCCACTTGTCTTAAAACTATGTAGAGTATTTATTATTGAAAATGTTGTTCGAATGCTTCATACTCTTTAAAATTAAATTGTTTTCTTCTGCAAAAAAATCGGAAACACGAAACGAGAACGAAACGATCGTAATCTATCGGAACAAAAAATACAATAGCCTGTTTGCGGGCTAAACTCTCACAATGCCACATAAACTTTTTAATCTTGTGTCCCTACAATGAACTTAAACTATTACTTTTACTTTTTTCTAATTGCATTTTGTTTTTACTTTTTAAAGACTTCTAAAAACAGTACAATGTTATCATCTATGTATTAAATAGGAAAATAAAAATCATTTCATTCATTTATAATAAGGAAAAATACAATATATATAGAAAAATAGAAAAACAATTAAACCCTCCGGCGCAAAATATCAACTTACAGAACAAATCTTAATATTTTGATGGGGGAGGACTAAAAATTGATGGAAGAATATCCGGATCGAATTATTTTCATTTCTTCATTTTGTTTTTAAATTTAAAGTTTTTATGGTATAAATATAAAATACTTATTCAAATCGAAAATAAATATTCATGGACTTTTTTATATATCAAAATAATTTATTAAATAATCCTCTATAGTAAGAGTGATTTTCAGATTTACCCTTCATAAAAAACTTGATAGTACGGGGATCGATCCGTAAATTTTCAAATGTTCATTAAAAGAGATGGTTGTAGTAGTACGCCGACCTTCGGGGCCACAGCTAGTGTATTCGACGCCTCAGGCGACACAAATTTCCTACGCCCCACATCCCCTCGTCCGGGGAAGCCAAGAGGAAAATCGAGTAGAATTATAAGCGCATATTCGTAAATTTAAAACTAAGACAACATAAAGTTTGGTGAACTACAAGTTTTCCTGTCCATTTTTTTTATAATACAGATATATCGTTCGAACAGCCGTCTCTTTTTAATTCAATCCAGTCAATCTCGTAAGGGGTCTAAATATATTTATAATAGTGCATACAACTACACAAAATTTTATAATCTATTCATAGGTACAGTACATTGATAAACTTAGATGTAAATCGTATTGTTAATAAATTGATTAGTAACGATGACCCATTTTAGGACCGGGAGCAAAACAAAGTAAAAAATCATCTGAATGATTAGGACTTTTTATCATTTGAATAGTCTAACGTTTCTGTTTATAAATATGTACACCAGATTTGAGAGAATATTCACAGAGACTACCGAGCTTTACAGAATTTTCATTCTAAATGAAAACTGCGTGTAGAAAATCTACGTTCTCTACAATTTTATTCATTTTGAAATTTAATGTAACTTACAAGCATATTAAAATATAATCAAATCCGTTGATAAGTAAGTAAAATACATTCTTAATTCATTACAATTATTTTATTAATCATTAAATAACAGATTAACTAAAATTTTGAGATCTGGAAACATTTTTTTTACGTGGGAAATGTTTTTACTGTTTACAGACAGCAGCGAAATTGTTGGATATCCGTAATACAATCAACAACGAAAACACTAGGAAACAGTAGCACGGATTAACGTAATACAGTATATAAAATCGCCTGTCATATACGAAACAATTACGAGTGAGGCAACCGTCATCCGGTAATATGACCATAAACCTTAGCGAATAATTTGTACAAAATGATTTTTTTTTCATCGAATTTGACGCCGCGAAAGTCCGATACGGATATAAGTTGTAATGTTTCTAGATTGCGTATTGTTGGAACATAAAGAGTCGGATATCGATACGAATAAAGGATGTTTTCATTCTTGCGAGATGCATTAGCCAGAGGCTGAAATGTTAAAGAGGGGTTGCCTTAGTCGGGTCCCGCATCCAGGTAGGTCCATTATCTCCATTCTGATCACAAAACAAGCGAAGGTATTTACGAAGAAAACTGTCTGAAAGTATCTGACATCCTTTATCTAGCTTCGGATTGTTCTGTGTACCGAATGTCGATTTCCATTCGATCGCTTTCGGTGGTAATGGTTTGGGAGAGATCGATCTTTACTCGATACATCGGCTTTTCTGTCTCGATTTGTACGAGAACGTTATTGATAAGTTAGCCTTATAATGGACAATCGCTCGATTGTCATGCGTTTAACTTATTAAACGTAGTAAAGCCTACAGGCTATATCAATTCGAATTCGAGTAAGATGAGTGGGCGCGGTTGCGCGTCGGTGCCGAATCTCGTATTATTCAGTTTACTCGGTTTATCATTTTCGAGATTTTCACAATTCTTGTTTTTTTCCACGGTTTTAAGAGTTGTCGAGAAGTATCGAGGAGTTGAAAGGATTGTTGGCATCTATTAGTAACTATCCGCTCATTACAATCTTTAATATTACTGTTTTTCGATAATTATTAGAGTAATAATTAAATTTTAAGACGTAATGAATATAAATATACATAGATAAGATATAGTTTTGGAAAATTTATTTAGTTTTGTGTTACTTTCAGGGGGATTATTTGTCATGGCGGAGGCGTCGAAAGTCATTCGTACAAGTGTGACGTTCCGAGTTGGCACACGCTTCATTCGTCGTGAGACCTGTAAGGTGTAGGTCGTTGTGAGTGGTGTTTCTATACAACATCGAGACTCATTCACCGTCAATCTAAGTATCAAGATGTCCCAGCAGCGGGATGTCATCGAACAAAAAGGAAACCAGATCGTCCGCATCAACAGCGACAGCAAAACGGATCTGGACGATCTGTTCAAGGCGGTGATGCAGCCTAAAGACAGTCAAGTACCGCAGAGTGTACCCATGAGAATGCGCAATTTACCTCCGTCTTTCTTCAAACAGCCGGACAGGGGATCGAAATCGGCGTCTCACAGTAGAGAATCCAGCACGGATGCCACATATTCTGGACCTCCTCCCCCCACGCAACAACAGCAGCGAGGATTGACTATCAACCACCCCAGAGCCAACAGTTCTCCGGCCACTCTTCAGCAGACCTATACCGCCAACAGACAAACGACGTCGCCCACCCAGCACCTCAGACAGCAAAGTTTTGAGATTTCCGACGATGTCCCTCTCCCTTCTGGCTGGGAAATGGCGAAAACGCCTTCCGGACAACGATACTTCCTCAAGTAAGTACCAGCAGCGAATTCGAAAACTTAAGTCCTATGTAAATTACACGCGACAAAATCGTCTATTTCCTCTGATTGCATTAAAACGCAAACGGTACTCCCAGTAAAACATGTCAAAAGGTGGATGAGGGTCAAATTACTAGTTTGGCCCTAACCATGGCGACGTCTATACCATTCGGAAATCATGTTACCATCGCTCGTAACATTTATTATTTAAAGCAACTTCCACTTGCAGTTTAAGAAACATTCTCCTCTTATCAACTCGTTCCTGGTAACTTTTATACACTCGACTTTCTTCTACGTCACCTCTTTATCGAACTTTTTAACTTCGGATTTTCATATTTTTTTCGGATCCTCATCCAAATATTTGCTACTACTATAAAAACTACGCAGACGTAAATGACTTGCGGACGTTTTCTTAAAGTCTGGAAACATCGTAGAAACGTAATTTAAAAAATATATTAAACACGAAGAAACACTTTTTTAAATTGAAATTTAGTTCTTCCGAATGTAATAAAAGTTAAGGCGCTACTCTACAGAATGGCTTTCGGTTCATCTTCATAAATCCGATAAGGCTTCGACGTTAATGCAATTGTTGATAATTTATCTCGAATTCTGTAACACTATTACGACAAAGGGCTATAAACCGCCGTGACTTCATTTTATCATTAAAGGATGTTAGTTCTGATAAAAAAAAATTGTCCCGCACGCCGTATTTTTTCGTTTTTGTACTTCCTTTTTTACGACTTTAAATACGGTAATTTGTACGTTTATTCGACGGACCGAAATAATTAATGGTAATTAATTACTGATAGTAGAAACTCGTTGATTTATCGCAGGATCCCGCAAACTAATTTGCGCGACGTACGAAACGATCGTCGCATCGACGTCATCCCGGTAATAGCCTTTTATTTCCAAGCCCAGCAGGGATATACACCTGTTTGGCGTATGACTAGAGTTGTAAAGCATCATCCGAACGATTAAAGAATGACTCAAATGACGAAAAAAAAACCTTAGACGCGTCATCCAATCGGAAATGATAGTTGCAAAAAGTTTTTTATTTTTTGTTCTTTCGATATCCGTGCACTTCGAATTTCGACCGAGGAAAAATATATTTTGGGATTGTTATTTTCGTTCGTCGTATCCCGAAGCCGTGTGTAAGAAGTGTGCAAATTGCCCCTTGGCACCGGTTAGTGATAAGTAGGCTTTGTCAACATGGGGCGGGTTTTTCTTTTATTTTGTCAACAAGACGGTGCAGTTGAGGGCGGGCACCTCTCCGTCCACGTCCCGGATACGTCGACGGTATTTTGTTAAGGCGTCCGAATATATACCGGTCTCACCCCGAGGTAAATCACCGTCCGTTTGGTTCCTTTTTCTCTTTCCTTCTATTTTCGGCCGGTTGCACGTGCACGGCTCTTGGCAACGACTCGAGCCCGTCCCCAGGCAAACAACAATACTATCGAAACTGTTAATAAATCTCATTGGACGGGTTCCGTCGGCGTTACGTGACCGAAGCGAAAGTTTATAAAACAACACCTGCTGGCCCCACCGCCAGCTCTTCCCCGGGCTTTCGGGCACTACCTTCGACCTTTCGGTCCCCGCGGCTTCCATTGACCTCCTTCCTTTGTCTGGCTGCTTATCCCCCGCCCCGGCTCCGGCTCCCAGACCTTTCAAGGACTCCGGACCGTCGCATTACCCGCAGCGGTGGGGTAGCGTCGGAGGGGCAGATCCACGCCTTTTAGGCCTGGTGTTGATCGCCGACGCCGGGTTTACGATCGAAATCGGAGTCGGGCCGGGCGACGTCATTCGGCAAGTTTCCGATCGACTGAAGCTTTCTGCCTCTCTTCGCGCTCCGGCGTTACCTACCGCACGCGTTGCCACCTGCCGATCGGTCACCCGCGATATTTATGGCGGGCGATGATTTGTCCTATATTTCCGGGGGAAAGGAACGATTACGGGAAACTCGACCGGATCTGGGATTTTTTGGCACCGGCGAACCCGGCTGATGCGTCGGGCGGCAGTACCCGCCCCATCCGCGGTCCGACGCTTTAGGGTGCCAGAATCGTTGGGTCGACGGTGGTGGCCGTGACGTCATCGATTCGTGACGGAACTCGTATTCACGCTTGGCCACGTATTCGAACTTCTTTCCGAACCGGTCGTCGTGCCGAGTAATTACCGCCTTTCTATCCGGGCAGTCGCAGCGTCTTCCGAAGGACTCCCGAAGACCTACGGACCTCTTCCGTCTGCGGATCGGAGAAAGATCTCTTTTCTTCCCTCCGAATTTTCGATGTTTCGAAAAAGTCGCCACCCCCGGAGTTAAATTTAGCTTCCCGGTCGTCTCCGTTCTAGCGTTGGGTGTCCTACTTGGTGACACATCCATTGTACATTAGGCGAAACGACAGACATTGGCAACGTACAAGGCCGACTGGCGCCTTCTGGCTCGCTATCGCTCTATATATAAACGCTCCTGGTTACATCAGTCTGTACCGATTCACCTAGTACACGTGCAAACTTTTGTTCCGTGCGGAGAACTTGTTTTTGGTCGGGAAATCCCCCGCTTTCACCCGGTTGGGGAACCTTCCATTGTATGCTCTCTCCGTTCCTTCAAGGTTACCGCTTGGACGCCATTATCGACTTACTGTGTGGTCCCCGGATCCGGCTTTTCCTAGAAAGATCATTGTATTTGCCGAATTTTCTTGGCTTTCGGCCGAAAGGGAAAGCTCGGACGAGAATTGTGTTCCCCCCCCGCATTACCCACGGTCCGAGGCGTGGGAAGACGAAAAAGTAGCAGCTTTAACGGGGTACGGGGTGCGGAGGAGCCGGCATCCGGGATTTTACCTCGGTTATTTACGGTGGTTAGGTGGGCAAGACGACGCGACCCTGGATGTATTTTAAGCGGAATGGGTCCTTCCTGGCGTTAATGAAGTATCCGCGCTTCGGCCCGTTTTATTTTTAGTCTGGCGACTGTTTGTTGGTTACGGCTATATATAGAGGCGCAGATCGTCTCTCTACTCCGCTCTTCCACGTCCGGAAGTGGGCGTCGGATGAACGAAACGAGAAAAGTCAGACTCCTCCCTATCTCTTCGTCATCGACCCATCTACCCTTTCATTCATTCGGTTCTCCATTCATTTCCCCGTTCTTAGATCACACGGAAATAATTAGACCCGCTTGGAAGCCACGAATGGATAGGGAAGGGCTGTCTCCGTTTAGCTCCGAGTTACCACGTCCACCCTCCTTTTCGATTGGTGTGGAATGCGAATTCCGTCCGTTCCAGTTAGCTCGTCAACCCGATTGTCGGGGGATCCACCAATAACTGGAAGTCCAAGGTCACACAACCCACCGTCTAGACCGGGCATTCCTCTCCTCGCGCTTGTCTTCGCGCCGCGTCCCACTGCAATACAATTGCGCTGTTCATCGCCACTTTCTCTTTCGGCCCATTTTCGGGCTATCCGAGTGTTTGTACGTAAAGACGGCGCCCGAGGGTGAGAACGAGCGAAAAAAGAAAAAAAAAAAGCAGTCTTCAGACAGGATCGGCTTGGCCTAAAAGCGGGGCACTGACCCTGGATAGACCGAACCTCCTCATTGGTCGGTTCCGTTGCCTGGCAACACGACTTTACTCGCGCCGACACGCCGTTGTCGATTTGCTTTTGGTCACGTGCTTCGCGTCGGTCTTCCCTTCGTTCCACTTTCGCCGAAACTTTCTGATCGGCTGATCACGTGATTCGGCGGAGCGTCGATTGTCGATTTCCGCGCGTCGCTTCTCCAACGACTTCCTTCCCGGAATCTGTCGGAATCGGACATCCCGTTCCATCCCGCCCGACTTAATAATAATGGAGAAAGAATTTGCACTATTCCCGCTTTCCGTCGGAAAACGGTTTTGCGCGTCGTTACTCTTTCGACGGCGCGTATTGCGTTTCCAGTTTGGAACACATTCGGCGTATCGGGATCCAACTGGCGGTTGTTGCACTTCGTCGTGCCTCGAGAGTCGGTGGCGGAAACAATAGCGTCCTCCTCGACCTCTTGCGTCATTTGACACACTTAAGTTGTCACGATGTAACGTTCCGCGCGCTCGTCGCAGTCTTCTGGCGGCCGCGTTTGTTTATCTCTGTGCGAAAAGGGGGGAGGAAAGCGTCCGGTTACTCTGTTGTGCCTCTACCTGCCACAGGTTGCACGTGAGTCGGCAACACCTGCCGTGGAAAGCGCTCTACGCGATAACGTCACTTGAGCGTGGGAGGACGGCCGGAAGTTCCTTCCCATTTCCGGCCATTGCGGTTTCTGAGTCGGCCGCGACCGGGAGGGACCCGACCACACCCGGTTCGGATAACCGGCAGATAAGCAGTGTAAACTGTGTCTCTGGGCTATCCGGAAGTCCGTCGTTCCGAGAAACGCGCGGGTGGGGTCCAAGCGTTTTTTCCCTTCCCGTTTCGGGCCTCGTTCGACCCGACCCCGGGTGCCAATCGAACGACGGTACCGAACACAGGAGACAATGGTTAACCGAACATAAAAGAATTCTAAGAATAGAAGGGGAACACTCGGTTCGTGCGACGACGTCGGCAGCGGCCGACAATTCTCGTCTACCTGTTTTGTTCCCGTGAACCCTTCCGGATGACGTCACGGCAAAGTACGACTGGAAAGACGACGTCGGTCGATCTTCCAGCCTTTTTTTTTATTGTAATTTAGTTGATGTCGGCGATGATGGCCCGTAACGACACAGAGATAGGTTTTTGGCACAGTGTTACTCGCCGAGAGACCGGACCCGACGAGTTTTCGGTGCGGTGGGACGGTCTGGGGAAATAAAATTTCACCCCGGATGTTCTCCTTGACTACGTCCTTGTAGCTGCAGCGGTGCGTGATGCGTGTCCGCAGCCGTACACACAAAAAAACACCGCTACCGTTCATACGAAGATTTGAAACTTTGAAATGATGTAATAAATGGAGTGGTGTTAGCCGATTCGATGTAAATATTCTAATATGGACGACGAAGGAAAACTCGGAGGCC